TACATGATGAACTTTAGTGTTCCTTATTCCCTTAACAATAATAAGGCCCATTATTATTCACTCGGCTCTCAGTTTCTTCGTCAGCTTTGAAAGTTTGTCCCTTATTTTCAATTTCAAATATTAACAACTATTTTTTTAATATTTATTTATTTTGCATATAAAGAGAAAGAGGAGATCTGGGTTTCAAGCTTGAATCATGTTCAATTCAGTTAGAATTATTATTTTATTAATAAAATTTATTTTTATTTAATTTTATTTTTAAAATATATTTAATGATGTTAAAGTATTAATATTAGAATAATTTTATATTTTAATATTATTTTGATTAGTCAAGTGAACCTAACAGACCCGACTGGTGAGACAGACTGGGATCGGGTTTTCGACAAAACCTTGAAAATATCAACTGGACTCCGTCAAACCCGGCTCGTAGCAACCCAAGTTCAGAGATGGTGGCCCTTAGGCCCATCAGGAAAAAAAATCGTTTTTCTTTTTTGAAAAAAGAAACGCCTATAAGTAGTTGTACAATCTATTTTAACTCAGTTTCTGTCAAGCAAAGAGGTAGAAGAAAGCTAGAGATCCAAGGATGGCACCTGAACCAGAAGATGAGATCAAGGACGAGAAAAACCCCAGGCCTCTTGACGAAGACGATATCGCACTTCTCAAAACCTATGTAATTAACTTTCTTTCTCTCTTTTCGCATTTTTGCCTTTTTCTTTTATGAATCTTCGATTTCCTTTTCTTCTTCTTTTTTTTTTAAAAATTTTTCACATGTCTATTCTATTTCAGCTATGGAGGTTTGCTTAATTGCTTTAGATTATTTAATTGTGTATTATCTGTTATTTTGAGATGTGCTCCTAAATCCTGATATCAACCGCCAATTTCTAGGGTTTATAAACAAAAATCTTTACACTCCATTTTACTTTGCCTTTTAGTTTTATTAGTTTTTCGGGCAACCACGATACAAATTTATTTTCGTTTTTTGGCAGGGGTTAGGGCCTTATTCAACGAGCATAAAGAAAGTTGAAAAGGAGATTAAGGAAATGGCAAAGAAAGTAAATGACTTATGCGGTATATTTTCCCCATTTTTTCCGGTGATTATGTTACTTAGTTTCGAAGCCATTTGTTCGCCTCTTCTTTTTTTTTTTTTTTGTTTTCATTTTATTATTTAGATTTAAGTATTAGATTCAGGTGTCTATTTTGGCAACATTTGTTGTTCTAAGTGGGATGCTAAATAAAGAGTTATTATTACTCTTATTGTTGGTGCTTTTTACAGCATGTTGGATGCAAGATGATATAAATGTGTATTACATTTACCTTTACCACAAAAGAAAATGTGGGAAAAACAAATCAATTCATATGGTATATTAGTTTATACTATCATGTGAAAAATCTGCATAAAGGGTCGTCGAGCATAAGCTAGCTGCTACGCAGAACATACCTGCTTGTCCCTCAATTCTGTAATTCACAATATCTGGCCAATGTTGACTAGGAAAATTTTTCCTTTCTGCATACATGTTTTAGCATTAATACGTTTCTGCAATCTCTCAGCCCATTGTGTCTTCTTGATTGCCAGCTGCAAACACATTAATGTGAGTGTGTTTTGCAGCTGCGGCTGCCATACTGAAGTATTGAGTTATATTCAATGTTTTTATTTTTTAGTTAGTCATCCAAATTTCTATCTTCAAATTACTATTCATTTGCCAATTTTCACTAATTTGTTACAAAATCGGTCTATACTTAATGTATTCCTGTTTTATATGCTGGTATACTTTGCAAAATAGGTATCAAGGAGTCAGACACTGGGTTAGCTGCACCCAGCCAATGGGATCTTGTCTCTGATAAGCAAATGATGCAGGAGGAGCAACCACTTCAGGTATTGATTTTTACTAAAAAATGTTTTAAGAAAATATTGTATTATGTTGCTTGTTTTGAGTCGTTGAATATTGACTATATTTTTCATCCAGGTGGCAAGATGCACAAAGATAATTAATCCAAACACAGAAGATGCCAAATATGTCATCAATGTTAAGCAGATTGCCAAGGTATGTATTTTAAGGCCCTGAGTCTCATGGTTGCCATTCTGGCTGATTGAACATATTAATTCTAAGTTAAATAGTTTCTTTGTCAGAAGAATAGACATTGATTTTTTTTTGTCTGTTATGCATATGGTTCTAACTGCAGTTTGTTGTTGGCTTGGGTGACAAAGTTTCCCCCACTGATATAGAAGAAGGCATGCGTGTGGGGTAAGTTTCTATTTGTTATTAAAAGATTTCAGGCTTGAATTTTTGTTACTAGTGCATTTTACAGTTTACACTTTGCTCTAAAGTTTTATATCCTGTAAATAGTTTGTCTTCCACTGCAGTTTTATTGTTGCCTCTTTTTGTAGCCTTTGTAGCTTTTTAGATAGATGTATATGTGCAATTTTTTGATAAAATTTGTGGAGTATTTGTTTGTTGCAACCACTAGGGGGTGCACATAGAACACCCCAAGACCATGCCAACCATGGATTTTTGAACCATCATTGATTTACCCTGTTTTGTAACCTTTTATTCCTTTAAACAAGGATTCAAACATGAAGACATCATGGTGCCAAGCACTGTAACCAGGAGCAATAATCATAGAATCATTGCCACCAAGTATAACTATTCAGTCTATTGTACTATATGTTCACCTCATTTTTTAGGATCGATAAGATTGGATATCCTTTTTAATAAAAATACTAGTAGCATTTGAAATTCCATGCTTTCATGATTTTTGACTTTTGCCTTTATTTTTCTTTATGGAAGCAAACTGTGTTTTTACTTCCTTATATGTTCTTGTCTTTCATTGTGTATAAAATTCTCATTAGTAGACTGTTATTCTACTTTGCAGGGTTGATCGCAACAAATATCAGATACAGATTCCCTTGCCTCCTAAAATTGACCCAAGTGTGACCATGATGACAGTGGAGGAGAAGCCAGATGTGACTTATAATGATGTTGGTGGCTGTAAGGAGCAGATTGAAAAGATGCGCGAAGTACGTATAGTCTTTCTTATGTTAATATGTACAGGCACACAGAAAACCTGAAACCTTTCTCCTAGTACTTGTACTTTTATATTAAGTTAGGATCATAAACTAACATGCATGGATGGATGACTTTTGTTCTTTTAGGTCGTTGAGTTACCCATGCTTCATCCAGAGAAATTTGTCAAGCTTGGGATCGATCCTCCTAAGGGTGTTCTTTGCTATGGTCCTCCTGGAACTGGCAAGACACTTCTTGCCAGAGCTGTTGCAAATAGAACTGATGCTTGCTTCATTCGTGTTATTGGAAGTGAGCTTGTTCAAAAGTATGTTGGCGAAGGAGCTAGAATGGTTCGAGAACTGTTTCAGGTTATAACCTGCTAAATTTCATTGTTTAAGTCTTCTCTTGATGCTATTATATACAACCTTTTTCATTTTGCCATTATTGAACAAAGATATTATCTGCTGCAGATGGCACGATCAAAGAAAGCATGCATTGTGTTCTTTGATGAAGTTGATGCCATCGGCGGTGCGCGCTTTGATGATGGTGTGGGTGGAGACAATGAGGTTCAGCGTACGATGCTTGAAATAGTGAATCAGCTTGATGGCTTTGATGCTCGTGGAAACATCAAAGTCCTGATGGCAACAAACAGGTTAAAGTTGCAAACTAATAATTTCAACTCTCTCTTAAGATATAGTTTTGTTATTGGGAAGCATTCTATCATCTTTTTTTCTTCAAGCCGTCCCTACCAGGATTTAATGTAATATTCACTGAAGGTTTTATCATGATTAATTATACAAACAGGAGATGATTGTTATTTGTGGTCCTCTTTTTTGTGCATTTTTCAGGCCAGACACGCTAGATCCTGCATTGTTACGTCCTGGACGATTGGATCGTAAGGTTGAGTTTGGTCTTCCTGATTTGGAGAGTCGGACACAGATATTTAAAATTCACACAAGAACAATGAACTGTGAGCGCGATATTAGATTTGAGCTTTTAGCTCGGCTTTGTCCTAATTCCACCGGTAGAGTCTTCTTCTGAAGTTTCTTGTTTTATGTTTTTCAGTTTTTCAGTTTTTGTACTTTTACTCGGAGTGGTTTTGAGATTTATGGTTTTTTATTCACAGGAGCTGATATAAGAAGCGTGTGCACCGAGGCCGGAATGTATGCCATTCGGGCTAGAAGAAAAACAGTGACAGAAAAAGATTTCCTTGATGCCGTGAACAAGGTCATCAAGGGATATCAAAAGTTTAGTGCAACACCTAAATATATGGTTTACAATTAATCCAGATTCTGGTGCAAGACATGTGTTTGGTTCTATCATATTCAATGTATTGGAGTTAGATATTTTCGGTGCTGGTTTTCTCAAGGCATAATTATAAATCTGACCCTTCAATTATGCAAAAAGTGTTATTTAAGTACCTTTAGCTTAGGGGTGTTCATTTGATTGATCTGATTAATTTAAAATTAAATTAATTAAATTGTATTATTTTATTTTCGTTAATCAAATTAAATTTGTGAATTTCAAAAATTAATCAATTTAATTTAATTCGATTAATCGATTAATGATTTTGATTAATCGAATAATAAATTTATTTAAGTTAAATTATATTTTAAACTTTTAATTCATCATATTTTAAACAAATTAAATAAAATTATTTAATAAAAGATTTAAATATTAAAGTATTATATCAAAAATTTTAATAAGTTATGAAATTAAGTGATTCATTTTATGTATTTTTTATTTTATATGTGGATTATGTTATATTTTGATTAAAATTTTAATTTATTTAATTTTTGAATTAAATTAATTGAAAATCAAAATTTTTTTATAATTATTTTTATTAATTGATCGAAATTAATTTAATGACTGATCGATTAATAAAATTAAATTAATTAGATCAAATAATTTGATTAAAATCGAATTATGATCACTTTTACCTTTTATCTATTATTTGAGCCATTGAAAAGCCAGGAGGTAGAAGATCAATAATCGCTTTCAATTCTTTGCAAAGACGACTTGCTCATGATCACAAGTTGGCCGGATACTAGGGAATTGTAGACTATTCAAGTGATATTGCACATGTATTTTCATTGAGGCATTATTGTTTGCAAGAAACCCCCGGATCATTGTACTATAAAAACAACTATTTGGCAAGCAACCATCATCTTCCATTTTTCTGTGCAAGTCAAAAGCTTCACTTGACAGTCCCTTAATCACTACAATGTAGCTTTGAGCATCAAGCTTTAACTGTACGACAAATAAATGAAATAATAGTTTCATGAAAGAGATTTCATTGCCTCATTTAAACTCTTAAGTTTGCAATATCCTTTGATTATGATAGTATTTATACATGAATCAGGTGCATAATCCTCATCAATCATCACCTCAAATACTTTTCTTGCTTCTTCCATTTTCCTTTGCAAATAATATCCTTCTATCAGTAATAGTATATTTGGATTGAGTGGAAGGGAAGGAAAGGAAAGGAGAATAAAGGAAAATAATGTAAATTATTTGGATAAATTTTTAATTTAAAAGAAAAAAAAGTAGTGAAAATTCAATAACCCTTGATTTCTCCTATAATCTTCATTTTTTTAATACCCCAATTTGGGGGAAAAGCTAAGAAAAGGAAAGCTAAAAAAATTTTATTTTTGTAAAAGACTATTATATCCAACTTTTTATTAATATCAAAACCCTAGTAAAAAAAAACTTAACCACATCACTATTTTTCTGTAATTTTTTTAAGTAAGTTTCATATATCTCTTCTAATATAAAAATTTTTTATAATTTTTTGGTGATTTGATCTGAATGAATGATTGGATATAAATAAACATATTTTTTAGATTTATGAGATGTCAAACTAACTCAAAATTTTTTATTTTTATATGTAATATATTATAGTTTGAGATGTCGGCAATTCTAGGAGATGTTTCATTGAAACACAATTAACTTAGCTATGATTATAAACATATCAGTTTGTTTTCCACACAAATTTAATTGGTAAATGTTAGTTTTATTTTTCTTAGGATGGAAATATTTATTTTTTATTTTAGTAAAATAAATTTATGTTTAACAACTATATGGTGATCTGTTATTATTTCTTGTTGGGTGCAAAAAGGACATATAATTCACTCATATGTAATATTTTTATGTGATTCAATTTTTTATATTTAATAGCTTTTATATGAATATACCGTCAAAGTGATAATGTGCTAAAATTTTGATAATGGCTAACAAATCTATCAATACATGTTTGTAAAACATCTTATTGTTTTACTTGATTAAAAATCATTGATATAGTAGCAATTACGATGCTAAACAAGATAACAAATATATTATGATTCAGAAGTACTTTAAAATCACAAACAATTAAAGGTTATAATTGAAAAAAATTATTATAATGAATTATTTCCTTTTTTTTTACTATTTAACCAAACAATGGTTGTTATAATTCCTTTCCTTTCTTTTTCTTTATTAATTTTAATTTTTCAAATAAGGGGTACATATATCCTTTAAAAAAAAAAAACTTTCTTTTCCTTTCCTTTTCTTTATTAATATTTATCCAAACATAGCGTAAATTGTATGTGATAATATTTTGCTTAACTCTTTTTCTTCTCATTATTTCAACAGTATCTTTAGCCTTAGAAACATTTCCCTCTTTACGACATGCACTAACTAATAAATTATAAGTGACAATATTAGGTGTGATATTGGTCGCTACCATTTGGACCATTAATCTTGCAACCTCCTTCAATTGACCTAAGTTACACATTCCATGAATCAAGGAATTGTAAGTGATAAAATCAGTTTGAATGCCCCTACCTCTCATTTCAGAAAACAACATCAAAGCTTCAGTTGGTAGCCTATCCTTACAAAAACTGTCAAGGACTATGTTGTATGCTATAACGTCAGGTTGGAAACCTTTTTTTTCCATCATCCTTAGCAACCTGACAGCTCTACCTGTGTTGTTGGTTTTATACAACCATTAAGTATTGTATTATAAGTAATTAAACTGGGCTGATACCCTTTATGAACTATGATACCCCAGTCCAAATGATAATTGAGCTAGACTATTACTAAAATCCATTAAGTTAATTAAGAGATTAATTAATAAAAGAAAAAGGGGCTAAAGTATTATATGAAAGAAAACTGAGCTATCGAAAAAAAAAAAAGTTCTTCTTTCTCATATTTCTTAGGGTTAGAGAATATAAAAAATCAAGTTGGCAATTCAAAATTAAAGGCTACAATCAAGTTAATCCCTTAAAGGTGAGTATATGCCATTTTTTTATTTTAAAAAATTATATTGATTGCTATTATTTGGAGTTAAAGATTTGAGAGAAAAACCAAAGGAAAATTATGAAATCTTTCATTAATCTTCATGATCTATTTGGGTAAATTATTGTGCTTTTTTAATTTCATGTTCTTAAGATTTATTAATTATTGAATGAAGTTTAAAGGCTGAAGGTGGGGATTTGAATTTTTAAATATTGAAGGAAAAATTCTATTTTTGGATGAGATCCTATAAATTGCAATAGTAAATTAAAATAGAATCTGTATTAATGGATAGATTATTGCTATGATTATTATATATTGTTGGAAAGTATATTGAATCTACTTTCTAATGAAATAAACAGAAGTTGAATCCGAATTTTTTAAGAAGAATTGTCTAATTTTTACTTAAGGATATGCAGGCTATAAGGCAACAGCATCAGGGTTGAATTTCAAAATTTGTCTTAATTTTTATACAAGGAATTACATATTAAACCATATGTGTTTGGAAAACTTATTGAGTCTACTTTCCAATGAAATAAGCAGAATTGAATTTGGAGTTTCTTATGAATAAATATGTAATTTTTATTAAAAGGTATACAGGTTGTCTTACAGCAGCATATAACATGGATTGCAAAAATTGTTATAATTAATCCACAATGAATCAAAATATAGGTGATATATGGTTAGAAAGCTTATCGAGTCTAGTTTCTAACACATTAAAGATATTTTAATTCAAAATTGGATATATTGAGATATAGTCATTTTAGTGAAAGTAACGTAGGTTACCAAAATTAGTTACTTGAGTTAATTCTTGTTTAACTTTATTGTTTTAGTATAAGTGATCTCAAATAGGTTGATTAATTACTATTATGTTGAAATGATCTTGAATAGGCCATTAATTATTTTAGGAAAAAAACTAGGTGGTGAAATCAAAAGGAGGTAAGTAGAATCTCACACACTTTACTTATTTTCGAATCTATGTATATATGTATATTTCTAAATGAATAATGTTTTATTTCATTATTTTCAATGTATGAAAAGAGAATCAAGCATATGATTATTTTGTGCTTCTTTATATAAACGATGGATCATGCTTATGAATGAAATGAGAAAGTGATTTTTTTATTTAAAAAATGATTTTATGATAGCTACGTTTTTACATCCCTGAAAAGTGAAATCATCGACATTAGAACTAGTTCTACTACTCTAGCTAACGGATAATAGTTGTTAGCAAAAATATGATCATACAACCTGCTAATGGGTAATAATAGTTAGCGTAAAGTCCTGATTAGCAGGTTATAATAGTTAACAATGATAATAAAGATGAAATTGTCAATACAACCAATGTTACAGGTTATAACAGTGATTGTAGCTAACAATAAACGAATGATAATGATGATTTATGATGATTTTAAATATTGATCCATGATTTGTATATAAAGATGATTTAAGATGATTTTTAATGATTGATCGATGATTTGGTTTGATTATGATATTTGAATGATACAATATTTTGTAATAATTTATGAATTGACATGTTTTGACATTGATTTATGAATTTGAGAAATGTTTGATAAAACAATGATCTTTAAAATATTTTGACATTTTGATTTGATGAATGTTTTGAATGATCTATATGATATGTCTGAAAAAGATCCTTGATCCAGTAAGATTTGTGAGCCTATACTTGCTGAGTTATAGTTTGCTTATTTCCCTTTTACTTTTTCTTTACAGATGAATAAGTGATTAGTTTACTTAGTTTTGTGAAAGCTAAAAGATCAAATGGGAATGATTACTTAATCGTTGGAGACAATGTTGGCCAATGAAATCTTATGAAATAATTTTGTATTTTATATGATTTATATTTGGATATTTAGAAATGTATCATTAGTTGGATTAAAGATATAAATCTTACTAGGCAGACTATATCAGTTTATTAAAAAATTTTAAAATGATTAAGAAAAAAGACTTCATATAACTTTGAGGTTTACTTCAAGGTAATATGACCGTGTTATATCATTGTCTCAGGGCGTGACATAAAGTGGATTAAGATTGGACTATAAGTGTACATTTTTAAATTAAAAGTATGGAATATTAGAGTTGGAATGAAACGATATGTTGAAATTTTGAAGTAATTATTTATGTGTTATAATGTTTGAGAATTTATTTTGAAGGATTTAGTCCGAAATGTTATAATTGTGGTAAATAGTTTAATATACGTAAAGAAAGATATTCACTTGATTTGATTTTACATTTTTATTGAGAAAATATTTAAGGTTTGATCATACGAGTTGGAAGTTGTATAGTCAAATTGAAGTTTGATAATTAAATTCCTATTTAGGGTGTACTGATTTTTTTTAGTGGCTAAAGTGATTAATTTGTGGTCATAGTTTCTAATTGAAGTATACTATTGGATTTCTTCGAATTTTATATTTATGGAGAACATTATCTATTGTGGTACTAGGCTATGTACTTAGCAAGGAATTAAATTTGTGGATAAAAATTAAAATTGTGGTTATCTAGATGATTTAGTAAGAAAATTGGTTTTGAAGGAGTAATCGATTTACAGAAAAATATATATGTTTTGGTTAAGAATGATTGTTTGAAATCTTACAAGGGCAAAAGATTGGTTGAAATCTTACAAGTGATGATTTTGTGTACTTGGTGATATTGAGCATGTATTTAATTTTAGAAAAATTTGAAAGAACTTCTGAAATAATGTGATGCATTTGGTTATTGTTTATAACTATATTTTTTATACAAATTCAAGTATTTTGAGTTTTTATTGTTTAAATTCTATAAAAGAATTTTACTAATGGATTATGATGCACATGTTTTGACTTTGACTTGGAGATGATAGCAATATATTTGATAAAAGAGAATTTGAGACATTATGATGTGTGTGGGGATTATGAAGAATCAGTTGTTATATGATAATTGATCTGTTAAATCAGAAAGAATAATATTCAAAATTGAAGACAACTTTGATAACTCGAGATTTTATATTTGAATTTATATGGTCTAAATTTATGGATATGATTTATTGCATCGATTTCATATGTTTTATAATGGTTAATTGATATAAAATTTTATATTGTTGGTGGAGAAAAAAGAAAATTAAAGTACTATGTGATATCTTTTTGGTGGTAAAATGATTTGTTGATATTGTTATTCAAGGTTATTATGGTTATGAACACATGGTATGAAGCAGATTACAGGGAATTTTGTGGACACATGCTTTTCTTGTTAAAAACAATGTTATAAAAGTTAATTTGTTAGAATTTTATTGGAAGAAAATATCAAAGTACACAATGGAAGTCTAAGTTGTTTTAAGTTCTAACTTTTTATGCTATTGTTAGTGGAGAAAGTGATAAATCTTTAATAAATAAGTACTAACGAATTTTGGATAAGAATATTTTATGTTTTTTTCTAGTTTTTGAGGCTTTATCTTGATTGACAATTTTTTAAAAAGTGTTTATGTCATGACTTGAAGATAAATATTTTACAACAATAGTCATAAGATAAATATTCAATTATTCATTTTGAGGTTTTGTATGGAAGTAGATTTAAGTCTTAGACTTATTGGGTTAAAGACAAAGAAAAAAACTTTTATTTCTTGAATTTATGGAACAAATGACTGATAAATTTTGGTTGATTAAGCAATGGTTTAAAGTAAGCAAAGAAATTATACTAGAATTTGGAGATATGATTTATAGCTTCAAGTGGTCAATCATTTATACTCATTACGAGGATTATAAAGTAAGAAAGATAAGTTTGTATTATGTAAGGACATTTGAAGTTTTTGGTAAAGTGAAAGAAGTTCAAAATAAAGAATACTGTCACTTCTGATATTTAGTGTACATGATAAATCTATGTTAAGCGAATATTTTGGTAAAAGCTAGGTGATTGTATATGAGTTTTTAGAAATTTAAGATGATATGAGTTTTAACATATTAAAAATATCTTTTTCAAATGGTTAATTGGAAAGAACAAGTTTTGGGATGAAATTGTTACCTTTATAAAAGTTTAATAAAACAATCATACAGCAAGAAAAGTAGTTTTAGAAATAAAGGAATAAGATATAGATGTAAATCAAGTTTTGAGGATGAAACTTTTTATAAGGAGGGGAGAATGTGATACCCTAGCCCAAATGATAATTGGGCTAGACTATTACTAAAGCGCATTAAGTTAATTAAGAGATTAATTGATAAAAGAAAAAGGGGCTGGAGTATTATATGAAAGAAAACTTAGCTATTGAAAAAAAAAAAATGAGAGTTCTTCTTTCTCATCTTCCTTAAAGTTAGAAAATATGAAAAATCAAGTTGTCGATTCAAAATCAGAGGTTACAATCAAGTTAATCCCCTAAAGGTGAGTATATATCCTCTTTTTATTTAAAAAAATCATATTGATTGCTATTATTTGGAGTTGAAGATTTGAGAAAAAATCAAGAAAAATTATGAAATCTTTCATTAATCTTCATGATCTATTTAGGTAAATTATTGGGCTTTGTTAATTTCATGTTCTTAAGATTTATTGATGATTATTGAATGGAGTTTAAAGGCTAAAAGTGGAGATTTGAATTTTTAAAGATTAAAGGAGAAATTTTATTTTTGGATGAGATGCTATAAATTATAATAGTGAATTAAAATAGAATCTATATTA